TGTGTGTGTGTGTTATATTTTGCACTACTTAATAATTCAGCATTAATGATTTACTTTGTCAGGAGATTAAGACTCCTCACTAAGCAGGGCTTTCCCAGGGGAAGAAGCTTCAAACTCAACACTCAATGCCACGATAAACTATTTTTTACCTTCTGAATTAATTTACAGCTCATTATTTTTCCTTATTCAATTTTAATAAAACATTATTATTTTTATAGAACACATTATTTTAAGTGAATATTTATGGTCTTGTCTGTCACTCTATAGGTCAGACTCTGGCTTTTTCTCATCGCAGCCCCAAAAAACCTGTAAGAGTGATATGGATTAACTTCTTTGCTAACACAATTTCCAATATTAGTCTGACATTCTAAAGGCCTGCTTACACCAGAAACTGGCAATGATGAAAAACATCCGTAGTTTCAGGTTTAAAAAAGGCTCCATAATTTGTGGGGCACTGTAGTTTTTACGTTACTCAAACAGGAGGAAATAGTGAGCATCCACAAAATCGTCTTTGGCGCTGGTCAGCGGCTGTACTTGGCGCAAAATATTTCAAAGTGGTCTTACATGGGCTCTGGTAAGTGTTCGGGGAAGCAGCTTTTTCTTATTTTAACCGATTTAAACACATACGAAACAGTTTAATAGTTGCAAAATCTAAACCAACGAAACCAACTTGGTGTGGTATCTAATTTGTTATGTTGGGATGTTTTTTCTTAATACATTTGAATTTTTTCATCTTTTCTTTAATTAAATGCCTCCTAAGAAACATAATCCATCCTAAAATTGGTTGTCCTTGAGTCTACGTACGTGCATACAGATTCAGTATTACAGGGCTGAAATGGAGTACGAGTTGATACTCTTTTGAACCTTCTTACAGTACATAAAGGAATATAGTATGTTGCTATGTAGTAAGTTTTATAAGATTAATGTCTGTTCATATTTTAGGGGCGAAAGTTTTAAAGTTTGTAAACTGAAGTTTGTTTTTGTATTATATTTTCTAATACGTTGACATGACCTCAATTTTCACTAATATGCTGAAGACACAACTCTATATACAAAAAAAGCCTTTGGACACCATAAAACCTGACAGACTGCTTAAATTATATTAATGTTTCTGCAACTACCTGAAACTTAATCCGGATAAATCTTCCCCACCCACACTTCGCAAAGTCTCCCATCTAAATCACAAACTGATTCACACCATTATTACATCCCAACAAGAATATTTATATGCTATTCTCCTCTGTGTGCCCAATTGGGGGTTCAAAAAGACTATAGTTTGTTCAGAATTTAGCTGCACACCTGGTCCTGGGAGCACATCCCCAATACCCTTTAACAATTACAATTAAATACCACATTTATTTTAAATTACTTCTCCTTGTTTATAAATTTCTCCATAGCTTAGCTTAGCTTAGCGCCTCCCTGCCTATCGATCTTCTCCATCCTTATGCACCAACTCGCTAACTTAGTTCCTCTGATGCCCATCTACTTTCCACTCAAACCCTATTCCACACTATGGCAGCCAGGACCTTAAGTGTGGCTGGCTCTAACAGCTGGAATTCTCTACCTTACCCTCAAATTCCACCAGACACAGCCGTGGTCTGTTTTTATTTGCAAAGCTAATTTTGTCTACACTGTTGCTTTGCTTCTTTCTTATGAATAGAAATGGGACCTCACAGTTAACTTCACATCACTGTCACATTTATACACTGGACACAAATGTCGAATTCATGCTGCAGCTTCTTTTGTTATTGACTGAGAATTGGGATTAGTTTGATCAATGCCTCAACCCAGTGTTGGTGGTGTTCACAGTTATTGACCACACAATTATGGGCAGAGGGGTGAACAGCAGCTTGGATCAATATGAGAGATGTGAAAGGCTCTTTGGCCTCTTCTTGTACCTGACCCCATGTTGGTTCTCTTCCCTTCCCTTCAATTTGATTCCCTCTATGGAAAGAATGGAGTTAACAAAAGTATCCCCCTCCTGTCTGCCTTGAGTGACTTCACATTAAAAGGTTTAGTTTGAAATGGATCAGCAAAGAGAAGTAAGCAAATCTGTAAATAAACAACACTGTTCTCTTCTCTTTCAATCCATTGACATTGGCCTCAACAGGCAGCAACTCATTGTGCCCATTTGCAGACTCTGAAAGTAAATTCTTCTTTTAATTGTCCTCATAGATACTTAATCTTTCTTTACTTTAAAGCTTTGAACCAAACAAAACAACTTTGAGATGAATAATGATCTCTTGACAATAGATTCAGAAAAAAATCTTGTTTGTGACAAACATAAAAAGATAATGAAAGGCTGCATATATACCGTGTTTTAACGAGCAAACTGCTTGTCTAGTGACATGCTCGATACACTTTCAGCAGTAAAACTACATCAGCTTTATCACTGTATGTCTATCAGCAGGATATTTCAAAACTCTAAGAGTGGATGAACCAGGGGTGATAGGTTGACCTTTGATAAAGAAACAATTATTTACATTTGAGCAGTGTTTCAGAATTTTGATTCCTGCCTCTAGACAATTATCTCTTTTATCCATGATTGTGAAACTAACATAGATGGAGACTTGTTGGAGCAGTTGGGGTTTAATTACCTTGCTTAAGGGCAGTGTGGAAATGGGGGAGAGGCAAGCTGTGATCATTTATTTCCCCTGACCCATACAATATTTTGAGGACTGCAGGATTTCAGAGTAAACTAATGAAGAAATTTAAGAAGATGCTGATTAGATCCTTTTAAACTAAATTGTTTCTGCGTGTGTTCACACCTGTTTATTGGTGTGCATAGTCTGCACAGTCATAAAGTTTGATGGGTCATGTGGATGACAACATTTATGTCAGCAGACCATTGTATTTAATATAGCCACAAATAGCTACCAGAAGCTAAGAGACGACAATATCACAAAATCACACAAGAATCCATCTTGTCTTCAAGTTATGTACTTGTGTTCACAGTGGTCAGAACAATCAGCGTCTTATGAGGAACTACTGGCAGCTTCAGAGGAGCGAGTACACCATTATCTATATCTGTATCTGTTCGACCAACTAAATGGTCTGTAGTTGTATCTGTACTCAGAATGGGCGGGGATTAAACTAGTCATGGGTGGTGTTTAAACTGAAAAAAAAGTGGATGGGCTAGCCAGAAGTTGTTCATTTAAGCCTGAAATTGATAGGTTTAAGTTATTATATTTTCTTAACTTGTTACTAGGAATGTCAATGCTAACAAGTCTGAAAAAAATCTTCAAAAGGTGTAAAAAAAGTTGATGGCTATCCTTTTCACTGACAATGTGAAAAGAAAAAATTGACTTTACAGCTTGAATGATACTTAGGGTAGAATTTTTCAACATTTACTTTATTTTCTCTAGTTTTCAGTGGGGACGCAGAAAGAAAACAGAAGCATTTGTTGTTTGTTTGATACTGCTGATTTACTGTCTAACAATTTGATGAGAGTCATCCAGTCCAAATGCTTTTATGGTAATCAGCTTTGACTGGAGCCTTCGAAAACTAGTGGGTATGAGTCAGCAGGCCAAAATAAGAGGAGGCTTGATTGAAGTCATTCCCTGGTATAACAAAGGGAAGAGACAGCGGTGCTGTAGAGGGAAAAGGCGGAGATGTTCCCACTTACACATCAAAGCGAAGGTTCTGCTTCTCTTCAAAGAAGAAATCAAGGACGAACTTCCTCACGAAGTCGGGGTTCAGCGTGTTATCGATTACTTCTGTCCGACCAAACTGAAGGAAAGAGAAACAAAGAAGAAGACAAAGTCAACACCATGCTGATCAATCTGTACATTTAGTCAGAGGGAACAGCAACAAACACTGTAGGAGGGTAATTCCTGTAGTGTTTTTGTGGGTTTACAAGTTCTCAACCAGCAAACATTTGAAAGAAAGTGACAGACTGTAAATCTATAAGTCGTAACCTGATTAAGGCAACGCTCAAACTATTAGATTAGTCATTTAAATATCTGATGTGATTATCTTACTTGGAGTTAAAATTACCCTGCTACATTTATGCCCACATTTTTTTGGTTATGGAAGCACCACGTTGGTCATTGAATGCAGGCAGAGCTGCCAGCGTTACTCCATTTTAAAATCCTGCGATTTACAAAGTCAATTTAATAAATGATTTCATTATATCAAGATAACAAATGATGACTTCTTTGAGCCAATTCATCCTGATCATTTGTTAAAGGAATATGGTAGAACTGACAAACACTGGATATTACCCTTGATCAACATAATTATTTGATAAAAATGTATAATGGGCTGAAACTAGAAAAGTATTAGTGTCATAGGGGCCACTATAGATTGTGAAATATATATACATACATATATGCATAATTTCATATACATAATACCTTAACAAAAATATTTTTGAATAAAAGAATGTATCCGTACCATAATTCACAGTGGCAATAATTCAAATCTGGTCAGTCCAAACGGCAACGGCTGAAAAATAAAGCTAGTGCAGAAGTTCCAAAAATTGCGAGGCTGGCTACAGAAGTGAGTCAATCTCCATAAGGCCCATATTAAAATCCCCAACTTTACAGCAGAAATAAACATGTTTACAGCCTGGGAGAAAAAACGCTTTTGGTCTCTATAGCTATTTACCCTGTTCATGACAACTGTATAGCGATGCATTTTTATGTACCTCACCTGTTTAAATTATATTAAAGTTTACAATTATGCATAGTTAGGGCCACTTGAGTGAGAGGTGGGTGCCGTCACAGGCAGCTGTTTTCAGCAACCAGGCTTCATTTGGCCCACCTCATCTCCACCCATGCACCACGTATTTTGCCATTTTTGGATTAGCCAGGAGCCGGACAGAGTCAGGACTGCCAAGATGGTGAAAGCCAGAGCCGGTTCTTCAGAAAACTAATGGTGACGTCACAGAGACTATGTACAGATTTGATCAATGGTCATTCTACCTAATTTGCTGAGATATTTAACATCTTTAGTTGAGTACAAACGATGGCACCATATCAAAGGTATTGGTCACTGCAGCTTTAAATGTTCCTAGGGAATACCAATTTCTAAGGATCTGACTACTGAAGTCAGAGACACACATTCCACTGGGAGACTTTAAAGTTCTCCTTGCTGACATTTGTAATAATTTTATTTTATTTTTTTTATGTTTTAGTGTGTGTGTGTGTGTGGTTTGTGTGAGAGAAGAGAGAGAGAGAGAGAGAGAGAGATTACGACTTTGTGTGAGACAGATCTTTAAAAGAGATCTTGATCTTAATGAGACTTCATGAATAAATAAAGCTTAACTCAAGCTTAACTTAACTTACTATTTCTGTACTCATACTGTGAACCTGTTCCAGCTGAAGTTAACAATTGCTTTGGTGTTTTCATACCTTTGTGTTCAATTTGCTTTTGTCTTTTGCTTTTCATAACAGTGTGCTTACCATTTAATTTGTTAATGTTGCCCCAAGCTAGCGAGGAGAAGTTGGACAGATTAACATCTATATTTCATAGATTATTGTGCAGAGTTTAGACTTTTTAACATTTTCTAAATGCCTTAACTAATGTTGGGCATCAAAATATGTATTTGCATGTAGCTTTAACTTGGATTATGATCTAATAAAGTTAAAAGTGCTGGTCGCCTTCCATGGAGTCTGCCATGTTTCTAAAATAGCCCAGAATGGACAAACTACGTGTTGGTGTTTTTAGGGCCTATTGAGTTTTTCGTGAGTTTCGTGGCTACTGTAGTTTCTTCTTCTTCTACAATCCATTCTCATTCCCTGGTCATCAATTATAGATACAAGTGGTGTTCAGTTGGTAGCAACCTGCAACTTGCCACTAAATATTCATAGAAACTGAATATAAAAGTATCATCTTGAGATTGTAAAATAAACTATATATGAAAGAGGATATTTATCTGATTTAGCAAAATCCTTGATTGCTCAAACTAAACATATTGGCATAATTCACACATTGTTACTTTTGACACCTGTAGGACAGCCTTTTGTTAACATATCCTGTCATTCTGTGATAAACATACATAGCATCCTCTCACATAGGTGAATCTCCCTTTGATTGCTGTAGCCTACAATCACACACTCAGTCCTCCACTCACAAGACAATCACGCTCTCTGACAGGTGACAGTGATGAGCTATTGATCTGGCAAATACCTAAAACCCCCACTGCCAACACCAGCCTTGTTCCTGCTCTCTTCTGTCAGTCAAACTCCATAGGGTACAGACAAGAGAATCTTCTCCATCAGGTATTAATTTCTTTGGTTGGCTTTCAGTCAAAGGTCCTAACACTTTCTCAGCAGCTGCTGCAGCTTTCAGAGTTAGACAGACTGTCACAAGAGGCAAAGGCATGATGTCAATAGATGCAATCAATCACTAAAATTGTAACAAATTTATTAAGCCTCATGTTTTAATCATAGTGTACTGTACCCATAATGAGTTTTTGGTGTTTATTACAAGGCAGCCACAGGTGAGTTTAACATTATAGTTATTATAATTGTCTGATTGAAGGAGGAGATACAGCTGTGTACTACACAGTTTTAAATCACGTGATAATAAAAGCCAGTGGAGAGATAATGAATGGTTTGCACAAGTGGCGCACTCTGGCTGTTTGAGGGGCAGGGTGCAAAAAAAAAAAGCACAAGCACACACAAAGTTGTGGTGCATTTACAGGTTAGTCAGAATAAGGATTAGAACCCTAGAGGGCACTTAATTGTGTTTTATCTACAATAGGGGGATCCAAGAGGGCACTTGGCTGCATATGGGACTTTTCCTGGTTAAATAAATAAACTAAAACTTTTAACATGAGGCATCAGGAGTAAACATTGAGATATGGTTTATTCAGATATGACATATCACCACACCAGTATGGTAATGCCAGGTGGAAACACCCACATACTGTATTGTAAAGACACAGAGAAAGCCTCTTCTCTGTCACACTAACAGTTCTGGGGCAAGCCGAAGTGGCTAGTTGCTTACGTGGACAGAAACCTAAAGACTTCCTGCCACCGCTGCTCTGCTGACAGCTGCCAAAACACCCAGCAGTGAAGCCCCACTGATCCTTAAAACAGAGCCTTTTGTTTCATATTTTCTTATTAACTGTTTTCCCTGGCTTCACAGTGGAAGGGCCCTGACATGCCCGAAGGGACGGGACAGACAGAGGCTCATCGTATTCCCGCTGGGTTTAAGAGCCTGGAGTGGGTAAAGGGGGGAAAACCTCTTTGGGCTCACTGTTGCATCACCATCTTTTGATCAAGCAGTGACAGCAGCATGCTGGAGGACCACACTGCCTGCTGCCCATAAATAAAAATATAAAACAAGAACTCCTGCAGAGGAGTACATTGTTCAGAAATGGTGCCAAAAAGCTGTCACTGTTGTTTTTGGCTTTTGTTTGAAAGAGGAAAGCAGAAAGCAGGGAAACACAAGAGACAATAAATAAAATACATAAGCGTGAAATAAACATAGATTTGATTGAATAACTTTGTACCCTGATCATATTTTGCATTAAAATAAAAAACAGCAAAGACAGTCAGATAAGGTCGACAGAAGAAGTTTGAACATTTTGCAGTTTTCAATGTTCCTTTATCACAGAAAACATTTTGAAATCTTTAACATATACTCTATACTATACAACATGTATAGTAATAAATAATATTAATAATGGCTAAACTTCATGAACATATGTGGCAGAGTGCATGTATTGTTCATGCTGGCCCACTATGGCTTGTTGGGACCCAGCCATTGTTAAGGTTTAGCAACACTAGTCCTTCTCCGACTAGTCACACCATGAGCAATGTCTTTAGTGAGTTATGATTGTGGCCCGGAACACAACACATTAACTCTAGCTGATTGGTATGCAAAAGATGGCAATTTGATGTTTCTACACACTGTAGATTGGTTATAATAAGACTGATACGTAGCCTGAGAGGTTAAGTCCAAGGGAAAAAAAACTAAAAAGCACTTGCAGCGCCACTCTCGCTGTCACACACTTATAGCATGCTGTAATAAAAAAATAGCTTATATGAAATTACGAAACACTGTCAACAAACTGTCAGCACTGACCGTATAAACTGTCATTTTCAAAGGAAAATGAGAAATGCTGAACTGCACATGAGAAGAGAACCATCCGTTTTTCATGCTTACTGCAGTATTCCTACACAGGGTCATGGGTGACTGGAGCGTATCCCAGCAATTTAGAGCTCCCCGCTCCCCTGATATGCATGTCTTTGGTCTTAGGGATGAAACTGGAGCACCCAAGGGAAACCAGGGCCAGAATTTAAAGCCAGCACCTTCTTTCTGTGCAGCAAGTGCTCACTACTGTGACATCCAAATGGTGCCGTCTGCGGTTCTTACCTTCAGGCAGCAATATGTGCTTTATTAAATGAAGCTATGCTGAAGATAGGGTCCTCCTTTGAGGCCAGTATGTGTGCATACAGTCGGTTTTGATCTGTGCAAGGGAAGTGAAGCTCTTCTAAGCATTGGTGAGATCTACAGTTAGCACAGATTGGTTCAGTAGGGCAGGGAGGCCAGCACAGAGGCTAATGAGCAGGACTGTGGCCTTGGATGTAGGACCCACATCAAGCAAGATGTGGGTCCTACATCGAAGAAACAGCAAGACCCCTGAAGGATCATTGAAGAGGAATATTTGAGCTGCTTTTTCTGCTACTATTCTTCTTTGTCTGTTTTACAAACCGCACAGCACTGTGGGGAGTTCAGAAGAGCATATAGTCGGCAGCTTGTTGCATGAAATTATT